GGAACACATGTAAATCCATGGCTGATTCATGTCAATGTATGGCAAAAACCACTACAATATTGTAAAGTAATTAGCCTTCAAATAATAAAAATAAATGGAAAAAAAAAAGAAGCATGCTTTTCTGCAGGAAGGCAAATGTTTTTTTAAACATCTTTTAAATTTAATTAAGTCTGTTATGTCTGAAATTTTTCCACTTGATGACTTTGATAGTTTTTCTTGACAAAGTGTAGGAAAATACATACCAGTATTTGTGGTTAAGAAGGTTGATTGTTCACAGATTTAGCCTATTTTTGAACCATGAGATTGTATAGTGTGCTCTGCTTGGTCCTTAAAATACCCTATAAATTAGGCAAGGGAGACACTCATCCAATTCACAGATGAGAAAATTGCTCAGGGAGTCTGTGGCTTTCCTAAAGCTAAAATATTAGCAAGTGACAAGGGTGGGTTTAGGACCCAGATCTCTATATTCCAAACTTTTGCTTTTCCTACTGGTCATTCATGCAATAGGCCTTCATACATAAAATCCTAAAGTTATATTTTTTTACTTTGTACAGTGGACCTGAAAGTACAGGCAGTGTTGTGTGTGTATGTGCTAGGTTGCTTCAGTCATGTCTGACTCTTTGCAACCCCATGGACTTCAGCCTGCCAGGTTCCTCTGTCCACAGGATTCTCCAGGCAAGAATACTGGAATGGGTTGCCATGCCCTCATCCAGGGGACCTCCCAAACCCAGGGATTGAGCCTGCATCTCTTATGTCTCCAGCATTGGCAGGGAGGGTCTTTACCACTAGAGCCACCTGGAAGCCCACAGGCAACGTTAGGAAATGTCAAAACATGTAGTAAAGACTTTGGCCTTGAGCCCAGGCAGAGAGTAAGCATCTGAACCTTTTAATGTGAACCCAACCAAACCTGAAATATCACATTTCTCCTGATTCTGCTCCACTAATGTTACTCAACACTCTGGAACCACTGACAATAAAGCTATAAAAGAACTGTAGTAGATAATTAAAAAGAAAGATGAACAGTGAAACTGAAACAATTCCAGCGAATATACACCCTCAGAGATCCCAAAAGAACCCTCCAGATACCCGGTATCCCCTCCCTACACTTGGGGGAGAGCAGCAAACAGACGCACTTTTTGCCTGAAGAAAAATCCTAGCAAGGAGCCCAGCACCGGGCCAGCGAGTGTGGGGGAAGCACCAGAGCCAATTTCCCCTTCACTGAGAAGCTGTCACACCATCCAAGCTTCCCTAGGCCTTTTAAAGGAGGTGTATCTGGCATAAAATCATCGCTCCTACCGACTGTAAATTGTCTTAGACATCTCTATCTCCCCACATCTGTGCAAATACTTGCAGCGCCAAATTCACCTTTGATATCCCTCTGTCACTTTGGAAAAATAGAAATGTCATAAGAGGTTTCAAGAGAAGCAGTAAATGTCACTTTATGGAAGGAAATGATTGTCATCCAAGAGTGTTAACTCCAAAACTTAGTGTGTGGAACTGATTGTTTTCTAAGAGTGCTACGTCTGAAACTTAGTGTATCTCCAAATACCCCTATAGTTCCTCAACATAATAGAATTTAAGAAACATTTTTGTTCACCAATTACAACCATGCAGAGACAGTTTAGTAGAAAACTTGGAGTAAATATCCTGTAATGCAGGGCTTCCCAACTTCAGTGCTCGTGATATTACAGGTTTGATCATTTTTTGTTGTGAGTAGTATCCTGTGCATTGTATTAATAGGTTGTTTAGTGGCATTCCTAGTCTTTACTGACTAGATGTCAGGAGTACCGTGTCCCCAGTTTTGAAATCTATAAATGTCTCCTGACCTTGTCAAACATCCCCTGGGAGCAAAATTGTCCCTGACTGAGATCCACTGGTGTAACGGAAAGACAATGGGTCATGTTACTCTCAGCTCTACCACTTAATAGCTGTGTGCTCTTGGACAAGTTACCTAACTTCTCTGAGCCTCAGACTCCTCTCTGCAAAATGAGAATGTAATACCTACCTTGTAGGAAAGTTGTGAGATTTCGTGATGCTTTATATGTAAAGTACTTAGCATCTAACTTGACATGTAAGAGGGAATCAAAGAACATATGCATATGCATGTATATGCATATATATACACATATACATATATATACATACATACATATACACACACACACATATGTGTGTATATATATATATATATATATGGGCTTCCCTGGTAGCTCAACTAGTAAAGGATCTGTCTGCAATGCAGGAGATGCCGGTTCAATCCTGGGTCAGGAAGCTCCCCTGGAGAAGAGATAGGCTATCCACTCCAGTATTCTTGGGCTTCCCTGGTGACTCAGATGGTAAAGAATCTGCCTGCAATGTGAGAGACCTGGGTTCGATCCCTGGGTTGGGAAGATCCCTTGGAGGAGGGCATAGCAACCCACTCCAGTATTCTTGTCTGGAGAGTCCCCATGGACAGAGGAGCCTGGCGGGTTACAGACCATGGAGTTGAAGAATCGGACACAACTGAGTGACTAAGGACACACACATGTGTGTGTGTGTGTGTGTGTGTGTGTGTATAAACAATTTATAATAAATATATCTGGGTTGGACAAATATCTATTATAAATCTGTGCTGGCAATGAAGCAATATGTTTAGGGACATGGTCTTCAAACCTTTAAACATATAGCTAATAGACATAATGTTTAAAACAGACAATACTTTCTTGGTGGTAAATGTCTTCACTCATGAAGTGACAGTGCATTTAGCACCTTCCTGGACCTAGAGGTATACAGCCAGTGAGAACTAAAATGAGCCAATAATTTATCTATTTCACTTGCTCATAAGGAAATTTCAGATAAATTATTATTAAATTTGTAAATTTAGAATCATACTTCTGTTTGTTTCAACTGAAATGATCAATATGTACCAGGAATATCCCCACCATGGACTAAATATTACCTTTTTGGAAACTGGAATGTCTTTTTTTTTCTCAGGTTATCAATGTCTATGCTACTCATAACAATGAAATTCTGCTTTCTCTCACTCACAACTCATGTTCTTTTAGGTATGTGGATATTTAAGATGGTAGAGATATTGTTAAAAATCTGATATAATCAATGTATGCTAACTAAATCTTACCAAAAATGAGGCCAAGCAACAAAGTGCTTTAGAAAAAAAAAGCATCCATTTTCAGTTGGCCATTAGTTTCCCAAATGGAGAATAGCTCTTTCTTCCCACCTCTCCTCCCTCCCCATATCCTCTTACCTTTCTTCTTCAGGGCGTTTCTTTATCCAGCTATTATCCTGTAAGAAAGTCCTTCTTTTGTTGACCTCTTGGAAACCCTGTTGCCTCAGTGTGGTCCCCTGCGTGGTAGTCCTCATATCTAACAACAGAAAAATGAAACCTGAAGAGATACAGTGCCGTGGAATTGAGTGTGTGTTTGCTAACTTGGAAATCTTGAGAGGCGCATCTGATGGTCCAGCCTCCATCTTCTAGGCTGGAACCTCCCATACTGTTTCAAAGTAGGATGCACTGGCAAGAAAGAACAAATCCCACACCTATCATCAAAGATAACATAACATATAAGACTGCTCGGGTGCCAACTGAAACTACCTGTGCACGTTATGAAGCCCTGCCCTGCAGCTGGGAATGTAGAACCACAGGCCTCAGCTAAATCAATACTGAGTTTAGTGGATAGGCCATTTTGCTCAGAAAGAAATATGCCTTGGAAGGACACACAAGACTGTTTTGGGAGTATTTATTACTTGTTATTGAGTATAAATAATACTCAATAAATCTTGGTGCTTCTGATTTTAAATAACGTGATTCTTTGATCTCATGGGAGTCAGAAGTACAGAAGGTCACCTATACTTGATTTTTAAAAGAAATCTTTGAATTGCAATTAGATGAGTTAAGTCTACAGCGCTCTTTTATTTTAAGCCTAACTTTGGCCATGTTAATTAAATTAGACTGCTGCTTCTAAGCATTTCATAGCTACATGAAAAAATTAGGAACTATGAATTGTTTTCCCCAGATGTTTAAGTTTTCTGAGTAAGGGAAACACCATCTACATTACCGTTTCCTGTGGGAGATGTTTTTCTCAAGGTGAAATTGGACATGCTGCCTTCCAGTTAGGACCTAAAAGAAAAATGGGGATGGGGAAAAAAACACGACAATGACTTAACAGAGAATCAACAAGGGGCTCGTTCATTGCTAGTGAGACACATTCTTCAATGACATGGACAGTCCCATAACCTGGTATAACAAGTACATGATATAAACTGTCTCCTGAGAACATGAGAGTTCGTCTATTCCAATCTATTTATTTTACAGATGAATATACTGAAGTCTGGAGTATTTAGTGCCCCCTATGTTACAGGACAAGCAATTGACTGAATCAGCCCATCAGTCAATTCATTTATTCAATGACTAAATATGCATTGAGAGCCTGGCACTGAACCAGGAGGTGGAGACAAGAAACATAATATGACAAGTGTCTGTTCTGGGGCCCTACAGGTATTGTGAGTCCCAGGTGTGGCCTTTCTGCTTAACAGAGAAGTCAGCCCTGAATTTCCACAAATGTGGGGCTCTCAGTTTTTAAACTGGAAAAGTCCTGGGCCAATAGTGATGACTTGGTCACCCTCGGTGGGGCATTATGTTTTTTGCAGAGTCCATCCTGCCAAATGGTGTACAGAATGTGGGAGGGGTCCTCCATCTTGAGTCAGAAGCAAGTCCTAGGCCCAGCTTCATGACAGCAAAGTTCTGAACTACTTAATCTCCCTGTAAAATGGGCTAAAGAAACCCACTACCTACTTCATAAGGTTGTGATGATCATCTGAACAAGGTACACAAAAATCACCTTGTCAAACTATAAATGAGTTGAGACTTACAGTTGCATCATCAGACAGCAGTTTACAGGTTTAATGTGGGTGTTATAAAGCCCCTATCTCCCACCCTCTGGTTCAAATGCATCTCCTACAATAACTGGCTATAGGACTTGAAGAGGTAAAGACACATTTTCTGGATCAAGGCACTGTTTCCCTGGTGTCTTCATTTAGAATATCAGTGCCCCAAGAGTGGGTGAGAATTGGAAGCTGCTGGTGACGTTACCGGCCTAGTGTTTGGCACTATAGGCTCACAGCTTCATCTCTTCTGGGAAATTGCCCTTGGCTCATGGGGCTACCAATTATACACCTTCATCCACTACACCAACAGCCAGCAGCTGACTACCCTGGAACTCAGAGCCACTTCTGCAGGCGACTGGAGCTTCAGCCCTCACCATGGCAGACATTAGGCCAGCAGGGGGTGCATCATTGCCCAGCTCATTCCCTTGCCTCCCCAGCCCTCCTGCCTCTTCCCTTTCTCCTTCGCTTGGGCACATACCCTTCATAAATCACAGGCACCCAAGGGTCTCTTAGGCACTGCTTCGAGGGGACCCAACCTCAGACTAACAACCAGGATAAGACTGGCAGCTATTCACTCCGCAGAGAGTCTGAAGGTCTCAGTGAAATTAGAAAGTGAAAGGGAAAGGGAAGTCACGTCTGACTCTTTGGCAACCCCACGGACTGTAGCCTACCAGCCTACTCGGTCCATGGGATTTCCCAGGCAAGAATACTGGAGTGGGTTGCCATTTCCTTTTCCAGGGGATCTTCCTGACCCAGGGATCGAACTGGGGTCTCCCACATTGTAGGCAGACGCTTTACTGTCTGAGCTACCAGTTGTTGCTAACTCCTGTCCGACTCTTTTGTGACCCCGTGGACTGTGGCCTGCCAGGCTCTTCTGTCCATGGGATTCTCCAAGCAAGAATACTGGAGTGGATTGCTATTTCTTTTGCCTGGGGTTTTTCCCAACCCAGGGGGCAACTCATGTCTCCTGTTTGGCAGATGGATTCTTTACCACCTCGCCATCAGGGAATTAAAAAGACCTGCATTTAAGGTGTGCTATTTACTGTGTCACTTTGGGGATGATATTTATAGTTCAGCTCCCTTATGTGTAAAATGAGATGAACTGTGGTTGTTTTGAGGGTCAGATTTGATGACATGTCTGTCAAGATGATGACACAGGTTTCCATCACCTCGGAAAGCATAAAGCAAAGACATAGAGAAGGTGTGGTTGGGTGTGGGGAGGAGGTGAACAGCCTGGGTCACTGGGTGATGGACATGTCAGAGCCACTTCTGCAGGCGACTGGAGCTTCAGCCCTCACCATGGCAGACATTAGGCCAGCAGGGGGTGCATCATTGCCCAGCTCATTCCCTTGCCTCCCCAGCCCTCCTGCCTCTTCCCTTTCTCCTTCGCTTGGGCACATACCCTTCATAAATCACAGGCACCCAAGGGTCTCTTAGGCACTGCTTCGAGGGGACCCAACCTCAGACTAACAACCAGGATAAGACTGGCAGCTATTCACTCCGCAGAGAGTCTGAAGGTCTCAGTGAAATTAGAAAGTGAAAGGGAAAGGGAAGTCACGTCTGACTCTTTGGCAACCCCACGGACTGTAGCCTACCAGCCTACTCGGTCCATGGGATTTCCCAGGCAAGAATACTGGAGTGGGTTGCCATTTCCTTTTCCAGGGGATCTTCCTGACCCAGGGATCGAACTGGGGTCTCCCACATTGTAGGCAGACGCTTTACTGTCTGAGCTACCAGTTGTTGCTAACTCCTGTCCGACTCTTTTGTGACCCCGTGGACTGTGGCCTGCCAGGCTCTTCTGTCCATGGGATTCTCCAAGCAAGAATACTGGAGTGGATTGCTATTTCTTTTGCCTGGGGTTTTTCCCAACCCAGGGGGCAACTCATGTCTCCTGTTTGGCAGATGGATTCTTTACCACCTCGCCATCAGGGAATTAAAAAGACCTGCATTTAAGGTGTGCTATTTACTGTGTCACTTTGGGGATGATATTTATAGTTCAGCTCCCTTATGTGTAAAATGAGATGAACTGTGGTTGTTTTGAGGGTCAGATTTGATGACATGTCTGTCAAGATGATGACACAGGTTTCCATCACCTCGGAAAGCATAAAGCAAAGACATAGAGAAGGTGTGGTTGGGTGTGGGGAGGAGGTGAACAGCCTGGGTCACTGGGTGATGGACATGCAAGGGGTGTAGAGCAGACCCTGTCTCATGTATGTGGAGGACCCTCAAATTTGGAAGAAAGGGGAGGAAAAAGGGCTTGGCAAACTTCAGTCTCAACTGCTTGTTCACTTCACCTCAGTCTGGCCTCACTTCTCTGGGCTCTTGGCTAACCAACTATCTGTTTCTAAATGGGCTCTGATAAACCTTTTCCTGAGCCACCTAAGACCTGAAGGGCTCGTAGCCAACTGAATTGGGATTCTGACATGGGCAGAATGCTGAATGTACAGCTGGTAATGTATTTGCAGAGATTGCGAACTCAACCATGAAATACAGGCCAGGGTCAACAGAGAAAAGGTATTTGGCAATTAACTGCTTATTTGTCTCTCACAAAAGACCGAGTGTCCTGTAAGTCAGACCCAAGACTGTGTCTTCTCATTTCCAGCCTGTGGGACAGAGTGGATTCCCCCTCGATGCTTACGATGCACTGAGTTAGGTCCTTTTCAACATTTCTAACACCCCAGTGTCTCAGGATGTGTCTGTATTTGGAGGCAGGGCTTTTAAAGAAGTGATTACATTAAAATGAGGCCATTAGGGTGAGGCCTAATCCAACCTCTCCTTTGACCTTATAAGAAGAGGAATTTGGACACACAAAGACATCTTTTCTCTGTGTCTGCACAGAGAAAAGGGTGTGAGAGGATGCAGACAGAAAGGTGGCCATCCTGAAACTGAGAAGGAGGTCTTAGGAGAAACCAAAACTGAGGACACATTAATCTTAGACTTCCAACCTCCAGAACTATGAGACAACAAATTTCTTTCTTTCTTAAAAACTTAAAAAAAAAAGTCTTTTGGCCCCACCACATGGCCTGCGGGATCCCAGTTCTCCAACCAGGGATGGAGCCCCACCCCCTGCACTAGCAGCTCAGAGCCTTAACCTTAGGACTTCCAAGGAAATCCCCCAGATAACAAATTTCTCTTACCGGCCTGTGGCACTTTGTTTTGGCAACCCTAGCAAACTACTAGAGTCCTTACGGGGAAAGTAGTTTAAACATTTCTAAAATAGCTAAGTCATTCAAAGAGCTTCGTGCCACTGTATCTCTGACCTTTATTTTTTTAATGGCCCCACTGCACAGGGCAGTTGTCCATAGCCATAGTATCTGCTCTTGACAGGGTACCTCCCAGGCATCAGAAACTCTTCCTCACATAAACTCTGCACCGCAGCTATTACCTCCATCTCCCAGATAAGACACCTGAAGCTCAGGGAGAGGATGTAACCTGCCAAAGTGGAAACAAGCAGGATCTGGTTCTAAACTGAAGCCAACTCGTTCCTCGGCAACCAGCAATAATGCTTGGGATGAATCACTGCAAGACAGGACAGGTACCTGGCATTACATTGAGAGAGGGTAGGCACACAGCAGGGCCTGCCTGACTCTTGACATCTCTGGAGTCCCATGATCTCTGCCCCCAGTGCCTGGCAGGAGGGGAACCAGGACAGCTTCTCAAAGAATCACTGCAGCAAACAAACGCATAGAGCAGCCTCATCTGTGTATTCCCTGCTACTTCCTAGCTTACAAACCTATGTCCATACAAAATGTGCACACAAATGGTCATGGCAGCATTATTCCAAATAGCCAAAAAGTGAAAATAACCCAGATGTCCATCAATGGATGAATGGTTACACGGCATGTGGTACACCCATACAGTGGAATACTAGTTGGCAACTAAAAGAAATGAAATGCTGATATGCATTACAATGTGGGTGAAACTTGAAACATGCTGAGCAAAAGAAGCCATACTTAAAGGTGACATATGTAGGGTTCTATCTGGATGTTGTTTCTTTAGATTTTCCTTGGTATCCTCCCCATATTCCACCTCAATTTCCTCCCAAACCAGGCTTCTGCTGCCCCTTGAGGCTCTGCTGGGTAAGAAAGAGGAGAGTTCAGGCAATAATAATTCTATAGATGATGTTATAGTAATTATAAATTTTCTCATTTCATGTCCATAGCCATGTTCTAAGAGTAATATAATCCCAATTTAGCAGAGACATGGCTCGAGCAGTGGCTGAGAGGCAAAGCT